GTGAAGGTTCCCCACAAGCGAGTAAGTCTCATTCTCAAAATCTGCAGTTGAGAACAAATGGGAATGAGGGAAGAGAAACTTGATAGGAAAACAATGAGGGAATCTTCCTCGTATTCCATGTTCGCTTTAAGGTAGTTATGGTTCTTCTGATTTTCTCATTAGTTTAGTTAGATACTTGGCAGCTGCCTGAAAATAACAATATGACTAAACCAGTCAGTAAAGTCTCACTGGCTGAAAATCAAAGGTAAGTCAGGCTGGACAACGATGGGATAAATCCAGGTTTAAAGACTGGTAAAGATGGATTTGGACAGAGTTCAGTGTTGCTTTCACTTCAACACCACAAAATCAGCAAAGCAGCAGGATACATTTGGGACAAAAGAGGACATTTAGGAGATAAGGGGAAAGTAAGTACCCTGTGGCCTCCTTCCTTCCTCACAAAGGTGCATCTGAAGTTCAACACTTCCACCACACTGGGGGCGAGGCGCCCGCGAGGCCAGAGAAGCTTAGACTTCAGGTCCGCCACTTGGCATGGCATCGGGCCGTGGAGGGGCGCACGTCAGCCTTCCAGCACTGACCTTCTGCTCTTTAAGGGGTCAGAACAGGGCCTCGGCGGCCACAGTTCTACACACATAATCAATCTTCGCTTCTATTTTGTCCTTCATTATCTGGCCTAGGGCAGGCCTGGTCATGGTCCACTACAGAAATATGGGTATATCTTTCATGACCTATAGGAAAGAGGCTCTCTATGCCATTTCTGAACAGATATCCTATCATCCCTCATAGAGAAACATTTTGATGAGGTGTTTCTGACATATCAAAATATAACTATACCCAAATTACAAATATATTTTTAATATAATTAAGGTATACTTTGTTTTCATTTTACCATGTCATTTTATATTTCTTATTATATTTTTTACTCCCAAGACTCATGGTGTTTTATTTGATCAATATGCATTTTACTGTGTATTTGCTATGCCCCAGGAGCTAAAATGAGTTATTTAAGAAACTTAAAATTTTCAATAACAAAGTTCTTTTAATAATTTTAAGATTTAGGTAAGACATCGGCCACACTTTCTTTCTCTCATACATCACTGACTTTTTTGTAGTACTATGTCAAAAGGAAGAAAATAAGTGCCTGGACTTACCAAAGTGAATCAGATACCTCCAGACGACACAGTACAAACTTCATGAGGACAATCAGCTAGCATGAGCCTAAGAGAATCTTGCACAGAGCTAGCAGTTATTTATTACAATAAATGCGTTCAAAAAGGATTGGAAAATCCGTGAGATACAATATCGAGTCTGCCAAACCAAAGGCAAATATTGCTAGAGGGAGGATTTTCATTGCTGGTTTAACCAAACATATCTGTAGTTCTGAGGATTCATAGAATTTAATTAGTCTGCTTATCAGGAACACTGTCCACTCACAAAATTTAAGCACTTCATAAGGAGGTACTTTTTTTAAATTAATTAAGCAAAATTCAAGTCAGGTATCTTCCTAAATTGCTAGCAGTTGCCAAGTAAAAACACAGTCAGCAACACAGCAAAATTTTAACTATTGAACTGCACCAAATCTTGTGCTTTCCATAATCAGCAGAGATTCAGTTTACCAGAGCAGGTGGGAGCTGCTTCAGACAGGGAATCTGCACATGGCCTAAGGCAGTGCCGCTGAGGAGGGTGAATTCAGCTGGAGAGTCTGTAAACACCCCGACGTCTCAGGTTTTATCTTTAAAATGCTCTAAAATCAATGCAGTTTAATTGCAATGTATTGTATTTCCGAGTTCATTTTAATATAGTTATAACTAACATTTACGGAATATTAAGTACTTGGCAAGCCCTGTGCTAAGAATTTTACATAAATTATCTTAGTTACATCTCACAGTAACAGGCACAATTTCTAACCATTTTACGTGAGGAAACGTCAGCTCAGAGAAGTTAAGAAGCTTCTTCCCTAAGGTCATAAAATTATTAAGTGGCGGAGATGGAATTCAAGCCACACAAGATTCTAATTATTCTTCTCCAATATACTGCTGCACTGTACTGTTGTAAATCACTTTTCAGTTAAATTAGTTAACTCTTCCTCCTTAGTTATCTAAGTCAGGGATCAGCAAACGTTTTCTGTAAAGGGCCATTTAGTAAATATTTTAGCCATTAGGGACCATATGTGGTCTTTGCCGGCCACGACCACTCAGTTCCGCCGCTGTGGTGTGAGAGCAGACAATCCTTAAAGGAACGAGGACGGCTGTATTCCAGTACAACTTTATTTACCACGACAGGCAGCAGGCAGGTTTGGGCCATGGTTTGTGACCTTTGACATAAGTAAAATTCATATTCCAGACAGATATGCATATTTATCCTGTGGCTTTGCATAATTTTGTTTTGGAAGAACAGGTTGAAATAAAACTGATTTAACAAAAGGAGAAGCCAATGCCAAAAGATGAGGGAAAGGGATGCAATTTTTCTCTTCTATCCCTGACCAACCTCTCTAACAGGGAACTGGCATCACCCTCCCTCCAGTCATGGGTTTTCTGCTTCCACCGGGCCCATTTACAGATACCCTCTCAGCCTCTGGCGCCCTGGCTAGGCCACCCCGACTTTCCCATCAGTGTGACTCTTCCACTTTAGGTGGTTATGTCTTCCCTTTCCACTCGGCTGGAGCCCTACCCATAGAATACACTGCATTTACCTTCCGCATTCTGTCTGTCACATCTCTGTTTTTGCTCACGCCAGGAAAAATGTCCCACTCTCTCTGCTAACCGAGTCCAAAGGCTAATCCAGGAAATGCTTCACAGTGTTCCAAGTTCGAAACCCCTAGTCCCTTGATTCACATCTAAAACATCATTTCTGAATATGTCAACTCTACTTGTCCATATTTTTTCAACTATTGCCTCACTAATTTCAAGTACTACGGCAGTAGTACCAGAAAAGAATTAAGAGAATCATTGTCACATAAGAGCTCACTGGATATAACTGGATATAACTGGTAACTGGCAAAAGTAGCTAAGATTGATTTTAGACATTTAGCTTTGTTTTCATGTTCTGCATAATGAGAGAAAAGGGTAATACCATCAGCTTCGTACAGAACTGGAAAGTAAAGCTTACTCCATCACATAGCCCTCATGATAACTTTGGGCATCAAAATCAAGAGCTGAGGTAGGAAAAAAAATCACGGGGACATTAAAATGTCTAAATGTACTGAAATGATACACAGAAAATACAACGGAATATAAAGGACATTACGAATTCTTGTTAAGAAGGTCTTTGATGAATAAGTGTATTTAAGTAATTTAATGAAAACGAAGATATTCAAATTCTTTTTTTTTTTTTTTTGCACATGACCAGGATCTTCACTGAGACCACTTAGGAGGAAAAGCATAGTAAAGAAATGTGTAGTTCACCACACTTGGGTCTTTCTCATTAATTCTTAGCTGCTGTTCTCTCCCTTCTCTTTGGGTTGCTTCCCTACGCTCACAGGGCCTCACTCTTCTCTCTGCTGGAGGCAACCACGTCTTGACCGATCACAAAAAGTCCTCTCTACATTGTCCACACTTCGATTTTAAAGAAACCTGAAATGATTCCCTTGCTCTATATGTTTTATTTGTCTTTACCTTGTAGATGTTGGTGGTTTATTTCTCTCAAATCTGCAAGTACTAATATACTCACTCCAGTTAAAACAAACAAACAAACTTGTCTTACCAAAAGAAATTCCGAAAACGCTACTTGAAGAATCTGTCTCTCTTAGAAGAGAACATTATCAACAATATGTAACTTAATTTTAAGCAAGTTTTCAGAGTGGTTTCATTGCTCAAAGTGAGAGCTCAGAGTAAAGAAATATTGTCACTAATGATGAGTTAATGTCTTAAAAAAGAACACGGAACAGAATCAAAGAGTTATATAAGTATGGCCAATGGTGCATAGTCTAGGTACTTCCAGGAAATACACAGGGCACTTTCACACATTTGAGATGCTGAGAAGGCCTGCATAAAGAAACATTCGAACAGTAGTCTCTAAACCTGTCTGACTTCTGAAACATCCAACGCCAGCTGTTACCATCTCTTAGAACTAGTTCACGGAAAGCAGTCAGGGAAGCTTGTGGAGAATTAACTAATAGTTTATTAAATTTAAGAGACAGTTTAAAATTTTAGCCCCATCCTTCTGACCTTCCTCATATTCCTTTTGGATAATATGGTATATCAGCACTGATAAATGCTACAATGAAACATAAGTTATGACCTGAAACTACTTATCAACAAGCACTATAAATGAATCCTGATTGCCACAGAGCCTAGCCCTGTTTTTGGATTAACCAAGAGTGTGACTCTGGGATAAAGAGATTTAAAGTCTCTTTGATTCACTTGTACCTAAAGTGGGGCTATACTTGCCCTTTGGACCCAACTGGTACATTTTGAGAATCAAGTGATCAAGATCAAGATCAAAATCAAGAATTTTTCATAAAAAATAATGTGTTATGAAAGCATTATAATTTATAAAAATACATAAATATATTATTTCAAATAAAGCATCAGCTTCCTTTTTATAGAGCCACACTACATGCTAGTGTGATTTCTTGAAATTTGACCAGAATACTCTTATAAATTGCTAAATATCTCATTTTATCTAGTCAGAAATTTTTCATTTAGCCATCAACCATAATAAGGTATCATTAAACTTTTTTTTCAGGAAACACATGGCAAAAACAAGTAATAAAATCAGAAAACTTTGTTTAAAAGAAGGAAAGATTTATTGCAAAGTAGACTGTGAGCAATACCACCTTACTCTGGGCTCTGTTATGAACCCATCTGTGGCAGCCCTTCATCTCCACTGAATAAAGACAGTAGGGCTCTATATTCTTTGAGTCCTTCATTAAACTATTGATCCCTTTAGCATTATCCATAATGTTCCAGCAGCTCAGCACGTCAACTGGTGAAGTGCTAGTCTCTCACTCCTTTCAATAACTTCCACACTTTATGGAGAGGAAGTCATAATGATTTATTTACCTGACATTTTCCAGTCCGGATGTCGTACAAGGCCACTGAACCATGGCGAGCTCCAACTGCTATTCTGTGATTCCGCTCATAATAGCTGACCATGTAGAACCTGAATTGAACATTTTTACAACAACAAACAACAACAAAAAAAACAGGTGAGATGACCTGCACATGGAGGTGGATAGCAACATATTCCAAAGATTAAAAGCCAGTTATGATATACATTTTAAAATAACTACATCATAATTAATATATTGAGATTTCTCAAAAATGCTTCATTTTGGTGATCCTTAAAATCAATTAAAAAACTGATGTGGAATGCCACTTAAGCCTGTTAGTAATTATTTTCAATACAAAATAACTTCATAATAACAAAGACTCTTGAATTTTGAAACAAGAAATAAGGGTCAAATATAAAATAGTTTAAATATGAAAACTCAGTTTTGCTACAGCGCCTATTATGCAAATATTTCTATTTGAACAGAAATGGAAATGATGAAAAGGCTTGCATATTCAATCTAATTACCTAGATTTTTCCACTCTTATCAGTTTATCTAGATGACAGCTATGACTACAGGTAGTATAAATAAACACATATGGTGCTTATTTGGCATTGTATAAAAATAGGATTTAGGGAGGATTTATTTTTATTTATTTTTCTTTTTTTCTAGATTAATTTCACGATTAGATTAAGTATTTGCATTCCTGATCTATGTTTCGTCATAATGATTTCATGGCCATATGGCTAGAGCGTGGGAAGGTAAGAATAAAAATTATTAGAAGTATAAATAAAGTATAATTTATATTCCCAAAGAGTTCTGAATATAACTTCCATTATCTAGTCCTACTGTCTCAGTGTGAGTTGCTCGGATGAACAAGAGGGCCATCCTAAATATTTATGAGGATCTTGCATCAATTCTACTACATGTTCCTTGCCTTTTTTTTTTTCTTTAGTTTCATACTACCAGAAAAGTTCAGTAACTTTTCTGTTACCATTTTTTTAAAACCCTGGAGGGGCAGGTAAAACAGATGACAGAAAAGAAATATCATTCTCTAATGCTTTCTTGAGATTGATACAGAGTAAAAAGCTATTAGGGCATGGGACTGCATTTCTGAAATTCTGGTAAGAGAGGGAGAGAAAGAGGGAGAGAGGAAGAAAAGGAGAAGGGGGAAGGAGGGAGAGAAACACGCAGGATATTTGAATGTGAGCGTTTTGAAACCAGGGACATTTTAATAAAGCCATTTTGGTATTAGCAGACATTATGACATTCATACGTATGTCATAAATCTGGAAAACTATTAAGTGTTTAAACTTTTTGTTATTTATTACTAAGTAATGGGTTCAATAATACCTTTTCCTATCCTAAGACTAACCCTACCTCTTTAGTGAAAGATTAATGCTTCATTTTTAGTCACACGGAAGACACTACTTTAGAACATTCTAAAGTAGTATCTTGTTTTGCTGGGTTTTGCTGGGCTCAGGGATGGGATGTCCTCTTTGTATACTGGTTTGAGGCAAGGAAGGATACTGAAGGCTGCTGACACATATGAAGCCTCCTCACTATTAAGTGGTTAGTAAAAAGTTAGTTTCTAAAAGCTTTTCCTGTTAAAGCATCATATATTTTACCTCAGTAGAGAAGGTAAGAATCAGCATTCGAAATCTAGTATTCTTACACTCAAGAATAAAAATGATTAAAAAGAGTTTCTAAATGTTTACTATTTTGTGATTCAATAATTACAGTGGTCTAAGTATTGGGAAACACTGTATATCTATATCTCTGCCTATATCTATACACGTAATTTCTATCCTATTATAGTAACATGGAATATAACATCTAACAAATATTTTAACAAATATTTATTCTGTGCAGGTTAACAGCCACGGGAAAATAAAATTTCCAGAGCTATTTTTAAAAAATCTATTATTAAGCTTTGCACAGATATAATAGCTATATTGCCAAATCCTTCCACAGAACATGAATACAATTTCCCTTCAAAACAATCCTCTTCAAAACAACTATTGGCAAAATACATCCGTGTTGATAATTTTACTTAGTTAAATTAGAATCTAAAAAGTTTTTGTTATATTGACCATCTTCTATGCTCTGGATATCAACCTCACCTTCTTGTATCATCTACAAACACTATTATTTATGGGAGAAAGATCAAATCTATTCTTGGTATCAAATCTTTAGCTGGCTTGAAAGGACCATATATGACAGGTCTGCATTTTTCATGCTTTGCAATTTACCACTAGACCAAGACTTCTAAATAGCATCTTAAAGAATTCTGGACAGTGAAGATCTTATGGCTTATTTTTATCTTGGATTTCTTGTTAAATTTTTTATTCCTTTAACAGTGTCTCTTTTAGCAGAATAAATCCATGATATGTATACAATCGCTTCATAAGTGCCCATTATGGAGACTGGCTGCAGTGACCCCATCTCTACTGAGGGTTTCCAGAGCCCACCAAACCCCACTGGGGAACTGTCAAATTAATGATCGTGAGATACACATTACGTGGACCACTCCCCAAAGTATCGATGGATTGAAGAGGAGGATCCATTACAGTTTTTAAGACTATTTCCGTCTTGACCTGATCCTGCATGAATGTCTTGAGTTCCCCCCAAATTTAGGGGGTTCAGAGTAAGGATTCATGTATGCTGAGCCTTCTGGCAATGGTATCTCCGTATCCAGTTCATTGCATCGAGGACACGTCACTTGGGCAGCATTTCCTGGGCAACAACCTGGCAAGAACCCTTTTGTTATAGTCCAGTTAGAATAATGATTCTCTTCTACTCAGCCTACCACAAGGAAACTCTGTTAAGTCTGAGAGAATATTACCATGCATGTTGTGTGAAAGAAGTATAAAGGAGAATATAGTAACGTTGCAAAATGTATTTCTTGTGGTCCTCTTCCTGAAAGTTCAAAGTCCCTGATCTCCATGCTTTCATTGCTGCCCATGTGCAGCCAGTGATCCTTTTCAATTGTAAATCAAATTGCTTCTCTCTTAGGCTCACAAGCATCCTTCAAGACCTACATGATATGTCCCTCACACCCCTCAGACTTTGCCTCCTCTCTCCTTTGCTCACTCTGCTCTAGTCACATGATGTCCCTGTACTTTTTTGAATATGCCAAGAGTGTTCCCGCTTTGAAGCTTTAACACTTGTTACTCCCTCTCCTTGAAAATGTCATGGGCCCGGTAACTCCATGGCTCAAGACCTCTTCGTTTAGGTCTCTGTTCTCAGGTTATCTTGATAAAAGGGGCCCTAGTGGGCCATCCTATTTAATGCAGCAGCCCTTCCTCCATTACTTTTTAGTCCAATATCCTATTTTTCCTTATTATATTATCCTTGAGATAGTAAACAGTAATTTATTTTGTTTATTGCTTGTTTCCCTCCGTTGACTTTTTTGTTGTTGTTGAACGTGTGAATATATAAATATGGTCCAAGCAAACAGGATACAGTAGTAAAATTTAATTGAAAATACTATGCTTACCCTTCGGTGACTTTTGTATAAACTATACTAAATATCGAATTTTAAGACTGATGAATATTTTATAGGGTCTAAAATAATAATTGAGATGAACAACAAAGCAAACAAAAACTGTCCAAAAATTGTTAGGCAGAAATCAAGAAACAGAATTGCCCCATGACCCTTCTAAAAATGTATTTCCAATTCAGACAAACAAATGCAGATTTACAAGAAGTTATATCTATAAAGGCCCCTGGAGCCTAGGTACATTAGCATGAGACTGAGAGCTGCATAATGGAAACTATTTAATTACATCTTAGGGAACTAGAAAATATCACTTGGGTTGGAACTCAAAAAGGCAAATATACTATATAATAAAGTATGTATTTTTGGTATAAATGTGGCTCTGGGAATAAAAATTATTGTAAGAATTTGCCAGATATTTATATTGCCACATGTAAATTTTAATGAACATGGTATTATCACATAAAACATAATTTAAAAAAATAATCACTTTATCAATCATTATTAAATACTAGAATAAGTTATTTCACTCCCGAAGCCATATTTGTGACTTTGACTCTTCAGGAGTAACCCACAATGGGGTGTCACCCACCCCACAATGGGACAGTTTATGATGTGAAACAAAAATGTGAACTGAGCCCACTCTGGCACAGGATCCTGGAACAAAGCACTTTGCCTGAGAGTTTGCCAAGCACCGATACCTGGGTCTCTTGGGTTCTCTGTCTATAGCCTCCCTTGATGACCTTTTTTTTTTTTTATCTTTATTAAAAATGGCCCTCAAATGAGAGCAAATTTGTGTGAAATTTAAAAGTCATTTTGGAAAAATATAGTTAAAGGAAACATGCAACTCAGCAGACATATGATTTGGGAGAAAGAAACCTGTAAAATCACTTTCTTAACTACGAATTTAGGAATCTACAGCGGTGTGAGGATATGGAGTTACTACTGTATATCATATTCTTGAGCATTAAAATGCAACAAGAAACATTCATCAGCTAACACAAAATTAATCTCCAGCTTAACATGAAACCGTCTAAAATCTAAGGATGTATCGAATAGAATGTATGAAATATAACTATTTATAATTCCTTTTACTATTTACAATTCACTAACTGCTTGCAGCTAATATTTACTGAGTACTGACGTGTTATTAGAAATTGTCTTAAGTACTTGTATACGTATTTTCATAAGTAGCTGAGTATTAGAATTCTTACTGAGTTGCTTACTGATGTTGATTTAAAATGGTTCACAAACTTGATTTTTTTTTTTCGTTAAAAAGGTATTAAGGCAATATGTACTTGTAAAAAACTCGACCACCACCAATATACATATAGTAAAAAGTAAGTTTTACCTGTCATACCCGCCTCCCTCACCAAGGGTTAACTACTGTTTCTAGAGTATTTTCTAATTTTTATCTCAATATGGTATGATATTACCCAGATCATTCTGCAACTTACTTTTCTTCCCTCAGCACTTCGTGGAGCATCCTCTCAAGTCAGTATACGTGATCCCCCGCCACTCTTTCTCATACTTGCGTATGTACGTTCCATTGTTTAACTATTCCCTTCCTGACAGATATCTATTTAAGTTATATTGTACACGGATCTTTAC